CAGCGAGGCGCGCATTGTCGCCATGACGACAACACATGCAGCTATCAGAAGAGGAGAGATCGCATCACTTGGTTTCCATTACGACAACGTAGTTATGGAGGAGGCTGCTCAAGTGACCGAGATCGAGACCTTTTTGCCACTCGCGATGCAGAAGCCTCGAAATGGTGAACTGCCTCTGCAAAGGGTTGTTTTGTGCGGAGACCATTTCCAGAATTCACCGGTCATTCAAAGTCTGGCATTCCGTCATTACGCCAATCTTGAGCAGTCGCTATTCTCAAGACTGGTCAGACTGGGCGTTCCTACGGTCACCCTCGACCAGCAGGGCCGTGCTCGTGGTTCGATCGCAAATCTTTACCAGTGGCGCTACCCCAAGCTTGGCAACCTTCCCGAGGTGCAGACAAGTGCTGAGTTTGTCAAGGCCAATGCTGGATTCAAGTTCGACTATCAGTTTATCAACGTGCCTGACTACAAGGGTCGGGGAGAGGCTGAACCCACGCCACACTTTATCCAGAACCTTGGTGAGGCCGAATACGCAGTAGCCATCTTCCAGTACATGCGCCTCCTGGGTTACCCTGCTGAGAAGATCACTATTCTTACAACTTACGCTGGTCAACGGGCCCTGGTAAAGGATGTCCTCTCGCATAGATGCGCCCGAAACCCCGTCTTTGGGATGCCCAAGGCGGTAGCTACTGTCGATAAGTACCAGGGCGAGCAGAACGATTGTAAGTGTACTATTGCACATTTTATAGCAATTTCCCGAACTAACGTCCCCTCCAGATATCATTCTGTCGCTTACCCGAACGTCACGTGTGGGCTATTTACGTGACGTGCGACGCATGACAGTAGCTCTATCTCGAGCAAGACTTGGCCTGTACATTCTCGGTCGCCGCGAGGTTTTTGAAGCATGCCCTGAGCTTCGACCCGCCTTTGACATATTACTTCAAAGGCCAGATAAGCTAATGCTGGTAACGGGAGAGCTCTGGCCTACGCAGAGAGAGGTCACTCAGGAGCTAGGAGCTGTGGAGGGTGAGGTACCAATGGAAGGCGTAGAGCACCTGGGTCAATATGTCTTTGAGATGACCAACACAAAGATCAAGCAGCTTGAGGCAGAACAGGGAGGACTACCTGAGACAATCATGGAAGAGCCTGAAGACGAAGAAGGGGGGTATGGCAACAACGAAGACGAGGAAGATGACGAAGAAGAGGAGGTCGAGGCAGACATCTTGGAAGTTCGGGAAGGAGAGTAGAGATACTGATTGAAAAGTTACTTGTGTATTATTGACGGCGCAAGACAGGACGAGTTGTTGTTACAAGGACCCATATAGCATGAGAACCGAGGCCCTGGATCTATCGTATATCTTTGAGCCTCCGACTGAACCTCGCTGGCTCCTGTTTCACTCAAATGGCGTGCGTTTATCAGAAATTACAATTTACTATAAGCATTAAGAACGGCGGTTGAACTCTAGCGCCATTGGGTTGGGCAAAGAGCGGGTGATCGACAGTCTCCAGTAGTAACAAGTAGAAAAAAAGTGCGAAAAGGCTAGAGGGGTTATTTTCTGAGGTTTCTGGCTATCGAACTTATTGGAGGCCTCTGATCGTTTATTTCATATATATACTCCCTTGCCGACTCTCTAGTAAATGCTTGGCTAGATCGACTCGAGACTTGACGTTGTTCTGCGTCGAGTAATACGATTTGTTCAAGTTTGGCTACACATGCATTTTTACTTGACTGATTTCGACGATCACAAGCGCAATGCACATCATTACATCATACATCGAAATGTCAAATTCTTCTAATTGTGGCTGTGTCATTGGTTTGATTGCATCTCATCATAATCAGACGACCAAAGTTTTGAGATTAGGGTTTTGAGTCCGACGTGGTTTGAAGTCGAACAGGATATAAGTCGCTCAAGGTAGACAGCATTGCAAGGCGTGGGATCCTAAGATAGAACAAACAAGCAACCTACATAACCATGTGCAGCAGAGCAAAAATTGGGAATACTTTTAGCTTAGGAAGGGCTATTCAGATACATGTTCAACACGGATTAGGTGACGAGGTGAGACACGTCCACCACAAGATCAGGACGGCCAGCAATACTAACGTTAGCCTGTCTACTTGGAACGCCTCATCTAATCAAAGTGATGCTCATGTGAAGGAAGTTACTGGTTGCAAGTGATAGTATCAACTAACGTCCCACGCGTAGAAAGAAATCTTAGGCTGCGCGACGACACTCCTAACGATCATGTTGCATTTGCTTACGAAAGAGGGAATGGGCGATAAACAATCAAATATGAATTGTTTTTATTGGACATATAATGTGACTGTTCTTGCAAACTCTCACATCAGTCTTATTAGTAGTAAGAACAGGCAGATGCTTTAAGAGCAACGGTATCAAGCTCCTATCATTTGTTAGAGTTTGGGCTAAGTAATGTGTTTGATATAGATAGACATGTTATAGTATCTGTGCGTTTAACTTTGAGCAGTTGGAAGCTGGATGTCAGAATCACTTGAGTATGAGAACCCTCGATACGTGAACTTGGGGGTCTCAAAGGCAAATCAAGTCATGTTTGCAATAACACGCAGAGAGAGAGAGAGAGAGGACAAACAATTCATCAGATTCAGTCCTGCTGCAGCCTGGTAGAGTGATGCCTAGACCGGAGCTTGCGGACTTAGTACGATAGTGGTGAGGTACGGAGTAGTGCGTGTAGGATTCTTGCTTTAGTGAGGTTTGGCTCAGTTGAGGGAAGAAAACTCAGGATCCTGATCTCAAATGACAAAAAGATTTAGGCAACTTGGTATAAATTTAGCTCAAGTTTAGGATGCCTTTTGCTGCGCTTATTTTGATAACCTATGTAAAGGCCTGGTATTTTCTTGCGCCCCGAGGGTAGGTAGTTTGTTTGTTGTTGACTGGGCCGCAAGTCGACAGGTCAGTGAGTCAGTCCCCCTGATAAGTTAACAGTCAGATGCCCTGAAATAGCCAATATCCTCTCCTTTACCACTCCCGACATGCCCTTGTCTATTTACCTATCTCTCGAACAGATGCCCACGCCTGGCCCATGCGCTCTCACACCAGTGTTGCTCATCACTCCACTCCACTCCTTTATTAGTTATGGACGATTCATTGTTATATCAATGGGGAGGGTTGGGCATGAGGCGTAGAAATCGCATGTTTTGACGACCATTTCGGAATTGCCGTTTGCCCTGACAATCTTGACACCCACCCACAGTTTAACCATTACGCCCTGTTCCCCTGCACAATGGCCTCCAGTGCGCACATCGTAGCAATCGTACTGAATTCATCATCTGTGGATCGCCTTGGAGACGAGCACAGACAAGCCGGCTCATCGGACTGAGGGCCCGTCTATCTCTGTCCTTGCTAGTTTGTGTTGGGTCGCTTGGGGTTAAAGATATCGTGGAATCAATATCAATACGCTCGGAAAGCGCTTTACAAGTACAATGCTGAGAGCATAGCATACATATATTGTTGAACTGACCGAAACCTACTTTGCTTCCTATGCCTGATGTCGTGTTTAGATTACAGGTATGTTGGTTTCATTGAGTCCAACTACATTCGTGTATGCATGTCATGCTACCTAGGTAGGCAGACTGAATATACAGTCATCTAAGTTAAGTTGAGTGCTCCCTGCCACATGAAAGTGAAGTTACTTGACAAAGTTGACAGTCACCCAACGACGACAGCCTGGGCGCCTCTGAATGCGCCTGTGAGGTGGATTCTGATTGCCACCTTCATACTCAAATTCTCAATAATTAACACCCTCCCTCGTGAACTTCGGACGCCAAGTTAAGGTGTTAGTTATATTAAGCCAGCATATAGGACCGATGAATCTATACCAGATTTTCCCAAGTCTTTTCATCACTTGGACTAGAGGCCTAAGTTTTATGCTTCCCCTATACCTGTATGCTCATTCGAAGTACAGTGGTTATTTGCAGTGTCTCGAACTATCTATCCAGCCAGGTTTAGGCTCCGTTTATCGCCTTAACTAGCGTGCCCTCGCCCGCGGGGACGGGATTGACGTAGTGCTCTTTGTGGGCGAATGGATGGAGAAATTAGATATGCGGCGTCTTTTCTTAGCTGGAGGTCAGGCCGGGTTGACCAACCAACTCGAGACTGCATGTTTGGCTTGGGTTTGGGCTGTGCCTAGGTAGGAAGAAGAAGAAAAAACCCGTGGGAGCGACAGTGTTGAGCACATTCTTGGCAGCGATTGACACTGTATAGACTCCCTGAAAAGCTCTCATCATCAGAACCCCTAACGGCTCTGTCGATGTTGACTACAGGTAACTCACTGCCCCCCGAGGTGCATTGCCCACCATTGCTTCATTGCTTGCGAGCACAGTGCCCAAATCTTAAATAGTCTTGCCGGAGAAAGCCCTGTTCCCTCGCCCCTTCCTGGCAGTCCTTATCATATCCTGCTGCCCAAATTTTTTTGCCGGCTTTTTCTGAATCCTCACCAACTCAACCTTCTTGGTCCGGTGGAAAATATTCTAACCCGACCCATTTCCATTTGCTTCTGCTTTGGAACCACGTCCTGTGTGTGTTAAGACCATCACAGCGACCCTCTCCCCTCCGTTTCTTCTTCTGTCGCTGCCGCGCAGGATCGTACGTAGCTTGACCCGTCTTGTCTCTACGATCGCCTTAATTGGTACGACTGCACTCCTTGTTCGCTCTCCTGTGATCGATCGATTCGATTCGGCCTATCTCGACCTCTCGAGCCGCCCATCGGACTTACCGTCGTTTCTTTCTACGAGATCTCACCGCACGAGATCGTGGTGTTTCGTTTATTTTTTTTAAAAAAAGGGAAACGACTTGTGCGTCTCTCATCTTCGTCGATTCTTGTTGCCCCGCTGCAGCTTCGAATAATTCCACGTCCCTACCCGGCACCCGGCGCCATCTATTCCGCTTTCTCCCTCGACGCCCACAAAAAAAAAATATCCCAACACCACCGCAATCTCACATCGCGAGCGGCACCGAACTCCCCATATGACGTCGCCTGCCAACAAGCAGAATCCCATCCAGGCGAACAACACCCCCGCGACTACGGCTTCTTCGTATGCCTCTGCTGCAGGTGCGCCTAAGAAGTCAGCCCAGGCCCCTATAGTCGCAACTGGATCCCACCCTCCCACGGTGGTTGGAGTTTCGTCTTCTTCGCAGAATGCGAAAGACGCCTCATCGTCTCCTGTGAACGGCAAACCCGCCGTCACCCCCGCTGTCCCTGCTGTCACTCGCAGCAGTGCTAACCTCAACGGTCCCGATCATTCTCGCAAGAGCTCCGTCACCATGGCTGCCAACGGTCCAAACAGTTTTGTCGCCAACGGTGGTCCCGTCACCGCTGGTAAGCCTGGCATCCAGTTCGGCTACGACTCTCCTGCAATGACCAACAGCACACCTCAGACCTCCAGTGCTGCGCCCATTCCTATTCCTGGTGGTGGAAATGCCCGAGTCCCCTCTCCTGCTCACTCACCTTCACCTATTCCTCAGCCTTCGGCCAGTGGTGGCCGGCCTCCTTCTGGTCTCCAGCAGGCAGGAGGTAATACAATGACATTTGGCAGTCTCGGCAGCGATGGCGAAGTAGGTTCTTTCAGATTCGTCTGTCAAACAGTTGCCCTCGAACTCGTCACTGACTTACTCTCTAGCGCCATATGAGGCAGGGCTCTACTCCAACGAACCCCAATGCACAGCCTGGAGCTCACTTCCGACGTGAATCTGGCCACTCAGCGCAAGGTGACGGCGCTGGTCGAGGTAACTTCCAGCCCCAGGGTGGTCGTGGCCGCGGATACAATCCCCACGGCGGCAACTACAGCTCGCAGATGGGTTTCCCTCCCGCCAACCAGTTCCGTAACGGCCCTGGTCAGGGTCGTGGCATGCCTCCAGCGTTCCAGCCTCAGGGTCGTAACCTTCAGTACCCCAACTCCCCACAGCCTGCCCGAAGCCCGGCTCTCGTCCCCTCGCTCCCGGGTACACCTAACATGCAGCCTGCCACTATGCAGCCTGGCATGACGCCTCAATACCATTACCAACCTCCCATGCCTCAACAGCATCAACAAGTACAGTACCCCCTTTCTCAAGTTGATAAGCCTTTCTCGAAAAACAGCAAAAAGAACAAAGGGAAGCGTGGCGACCTGGAAAAGTCGGTCCAGGTCAACCACCCGCAAGAGTCGTCACGAGATCTGCATGGGAACGAGTTCAACCAACGTCGGCGTTTCAGTAAACGTTTAGATCAACCATGGCGAGAACCAGATACCAGCAGCTCGCGTGTAACGTCATTCACCTATCCCAAAAAGACCTTTCAACCCCTATCCTTGAATGAACCAACGCCGTCTCTCGACTTGTCACCAGGAAGTGGCTTCTTTGAATACATGCTAACTTTAAAAAAACAGAACTACGGTTATCCTCCCCCGCAGGTGGATGGCTTCGGACGCCCACTGTCGATGCAATACAATTATGCCAATATGCCGTATATGGCTGTACCTCCCCAGGCTAACTCTCCTAGCTACGGACAGAACTATGTCACTCCCTATACACAGCATGGTCACAACATGTCACGAACACCCTCTCAGCCTGAGAGGCCACCGAGCGCCAGCCAGCCAAATGCTCCGGTCGTTGTGTCATCTACCCCACAGCCCCAGAATTCGTCATTAAAGCCCACCGCAAACAGCTTCGTCAAGGTGCCTAAGAAGAGCGCCGCTATCCAGATCAAGAACGCTGCTGGTGAAGTCATTGACACCTCGTCCTTCAAAACTCCATCATCTCCCGCTCCCAGCATCCAGCAATCCAAGACTCCTCCCGTGATCGTTTCATCTACCCCTCCTCCAAAGCCATCTACCCCATCTCACGGCCGCACTGATAGTCATGCTGCCACCAAGACCGCCAAGCAGATTCAGGATGAGCTTAAGGAGAAGATCAAGCAAGCCACGCAGGCGCCGCCCAAGGAGGATAAGCCAAAGCCCGTTGAGCCTGCAGCTAAAATCGAAGACAAGCCTGCTGAGCAATCTGAGGCCAAGCTCACCGAGACCAAGGCCGAGCCTGCACCTTCTACTAAGGCTGAGCCTGAAAGCAAGCCCGAACCTGAGGTCAAGGCCCCTGAAGCCACTCCTAAGATAGAGGAGCCTAAGAAGGAGGCTGAGAAGCCCGCTGAGCCTGCTAAGAAGGAAGAAACTGAGGAGGAAGAGATAGAGCGTATGATACGTGAGATGGAAGAAGAGGATGCTCGCCGTGAGAAGGCTGAGGAAGAGCACCGTAAGAAGGTCGAGGCCCAGAAGGCCATTGCCAAGGAACAAGCCGAAAAGGATCGTGTTAAGAACGCTGCAGAGGAAGACCGCAAACTCCGAGAACAAGAGCGCGAGATGGAGCGTCTCGAGGAGGAGAAGGAGAAGCGACGTCAACAGGCCGGCTCATCTGCTCCTTCAGTCGCCGAACTCCTCTCCCAGGCTCGAAGCGGCAAGGACACTGAGCCTACCAAGGTCGAGTCTGTTACCGACAAGCTTGCTAGCATGAAGATTGGAGGCGATAAGCCTGCCGACTCTGCTGCGCCCAAGCACGAGAAGCGTGGTGCGAAGCCTGCTGCTCTCAACTTGGCCCCTCTTAACACCAAGCCTGTTGAGCCTGCTCAACCTAGCGCTGCCCTGCAATCGCTCAAGTCTGCTCGTTTCCTGAAGGTTATCGAGCAAGATATCTACCCTGCTGGCATCAAGTCGCCCAATCCTGCCCTTAATGCAGCTGTCCAGAAGAAGGGCAAGACATTCAAGTATGATGCCAACTTCTTGTTACAGTTCCAAAAGGTCTTTACTGAGCAGCCTTCTCTCGAATTCGGCCAGCAAGTCAAGTCTCTTATTGGCGATGACCGTTCCAGAACCAACACTCCTGGCGGCTCTGGCCGAGGCTCTCGTGGTCCCAGCTCAGGTATCGGCAGTGGATTTCCTATGGGTAGCTTCAACGCCCCCACCGCTTCCCGACCTCTCCCCAGTAACAGTACCTCTGAACTCCGTTTCGCCCTGTCCAACCAGCAGCGACCTGGCATTGGTTCCATGGGCCGTGGTCCCAGCAATTTCCCTACAGGCGGCTCCTCCCGTGGCCCCTCTCAACTTCCTAACTCTCCCCGTGGGTCCCGTCGTCGTGGCGGCGGCAGCCAGCGTGGCGAAGGCGTCAGGGAGGCTCAGGCTGCTAAGACCATGCCTTTGACTGCCGGCCAGGAGCTTAAGCCCATTGCCCAGACCGCCAATGGTTGGAAGCCTACAAGTATTGGCAAGAATGCCAATCCAGCCGCTGCTAATCCCTCTGGTCATCTTGAGCCTGATATGGTTCAAAGAAAGGTCAAGGCGGCACTCAACAAGATGACACCCGAGAAGTTTGACAGAATTGCAGACCAGATCCTGCTCATTGCATCCCAGTCCAAGGATGAGTCCGACGGGCGTACACTTCGTCAAGTCATCCAGCTCACCTTTGAGAAGGCCACTGATGAGGCCCATTGGGCTTCCATGTATGCCAAGTTCTGCAAACGTATGCTTGAGACTATGAGCCCCGACGTCCGTGATGAGCGTATCAAAGACAAGAATGGTAACGTCGTCAGCGGTGGTAACTTGTTCCGCAAGTACCTTCTCAACAGATGTCAGGAGGAGTTTGAGCGCGGTTGGACCGTTAACTTGCCTGACAAGCCTGATGAGGAAGAAGACGCTGCGGGTAAGAAGACTGCTGAGGCTGCTCTCCTGTCCGATGAGTACTATGCTGCTGCTGCTGCCAAGCGACGTGGTCTTGGTCTAGTCCAGTTCATCGGTGAACTTTACAAGCTCGGCATGCTTACTGAGCGTATCATGCACGAGTGTGTGCACAAACTCGTCGACTATAAGGGAGTACCTGACGAGGCTGAAGTTGAGTCGCTTAGCAAGCTGCTCAGGACTATTGGTGGCAACCTCGACAGCACTGAGAAGGGTCGACCCATGATGGACGCTTACTTCCAGCGCATCCAGACCATGATGGATCTTCCCGAGCTTCCCAGCCGACTCAAGTTTATGCTCATGGACGTTATGGACCTGCGCAAGGCCGGATGGCACTCCAAGGAGACCAACAAGGGCCCCAAGACCCTCGATGAAGTCCGAGCTGAGGCTGAGGCTGCTCAGGCCGCCAAAGCTCAGGAGGCTGCTCGCACTAATCAGCGAGGTGGCGGTCGCCCTCCCGTCGGACGAGGCGACGCTCGCAACTTCTCGGCTGGTTACGCACAACAAACCAGTAATCAGGTCGGAATGGACGACCTGCGCCGTCTGAAGGGCTCTGCCAACCGAACCTCAAGCGGCAACATCTCTCTTGGCCCTGCTTCCATGCTCTCTTCTCGTAGTAACAGCGGAAGACGCATGGGTCCTGGCGGCTACCTGGGTCCTCGCGGTGAGGATTCTGCTACTTCCTCACGCACTGGCACTCCTCCTACCCGCGAGAACACCTCCCACTCTAATGCATTCAGGTAAGTTTGACTAGTGCCATGTACATTCAAATTTTGAGTTGCTGACATGTATTTAGCCTCCTTGCCAACATGGAGAATGACCACCCGGCTTCGCCCCCGTCTACTTCTGCCTCCCCCGCGATGTCGAAGGCTGTCCCTGACAGTGATAAGAAAGAGAGCGAGTAAAAGTATTCTTCTTCCTTCGGTGTCTTGCATTTCGGCAGAATAGACTAGGCGGTGCTGTGTTTTCTTGCATTTACAGGCCTTTTTTTATTATTTATTCATCAGACGTGTCACAAAAGTTGAGCACATTTTCTTTTTCCAGAACTCATGATACCTTGCCCATAGATAGACGGACACGATTCCTCTCAGCGTGAGAGGTGACCCCTACATCGGACTAGGGATTTCCTTCACCATTGTGCACATTACCACCTACCTCAGCCCCTTTTCTGATCATACTTCGAGTGTGTTTCAGTTCTTTAATGTTGTGGAGGATTTCCGGTTCAAGGGTTCGGGATGGCCCTATCGTTGTCGTTGGCCAGCATACTTCTGGCTGTTTTATTTCCAGGAGAGGTCACGCACGAAAAGGGGGAGGTAATGATGGTGGAAAAGCGTCACGATGATCACGTTGCAACCGTCATATACATACGTACGACTCGGGGTGGATGGCGGAGGTGGTGTTCAGGGCATTTGCGGTTGAATTTTACTTCGGACTGAACGAGGCAGAACGCGAAAGGGAATGGAATGGAATGATAAGGAATGAAACGGTTTTTCTGGTGCATTCTTCCTCTCTGGCCTTTCGTTCGTTATACGTGGACAGTCTCTCGCCATGCTTTCGCCCCTTCGCTGGCTTTAGATGTTGCTACTTCACTTAACGCTGACGAATCACATCAAGTCACGATGGGTTAGGAAAGGGTTCTCAAACAAGACCATGATTGATGATGACGACCCAGGCTCTCTTGACTTAGCCTCACGAGCATATGCATTGTTGTACCAAGAAGGAGGCCATGGCCGCTCGCCAACGGCTCTATCACTTGGTGTGTAATGTATGGAGGCGCTCAGCCTGGTCAAGCTTTAATGAAAGGGTCTTGATGATGCTTTGCTGTATATCATCTAATTTCGAAGAAGCATGGGCCATTGGCAGGGACAATTTACATATATGTTCAAACCTGCTGCCTCTTACTCGTGAATGTTGGACACAGGGAAGGTGTGTTGAGAACGGACAAGTATATGGAAACTTTTTAAAACACTGTAGCTTGGTACTAGAACACTCGACAGGCTTCGCTCTGATCAAGCTCCTAAACACTACTAAAAACTCGCTTACTCTTGTGCATGCCAAAACTATTCATTACTTGCATGTGAAGCTGTTATCCTTTCTGTTGATCCTAAACAAACCAATCCGTGTGAATATTTAATCCCCAGACGCCACTGACCCAAATATACATCAACATTTCACAGCATAACCATAAATGTCCTTCCACTTCCCTAAGAAACTCAGGCCATTGGTTTGAAGCCCAGCTTGGTGAACAGAGTATCCATGGCTACCCATTGCCGACCACACTTATCGAGATACTTGTCAACAATACCCTTCACATTTCCAAAGCGTACGCGGTTGTGTTCAGCCAATGCAAGGATGTTCTCCCGATCTTGCCTGGACATCTCAGTGCTCGTGGCCTTGGCCTTGGCCTTGTCGACATCCCACAGGCTGGCGAAGTAGAGAAGCTGGGTGTAGATAGCCTTTTCTGTGTATTCGTAACGCATTCGACCAAGACAATCTCGGGCAAGTCCCTTGGGGCCAAGGCAGCGAGAACCATAAACACTCATTTGCCGTGTTCGATTGCCGCACTGGCTATCATCGCAGACCAGCCAGCCCTCGTAGTACCGACTTGTCTGAGTGCGGATGGCGTGCTCCATCTGGGCCACGACAGAGAGCGTTGAGATGACACTACCACACGAGCCGCAGATGACACCGGATTGGGACACATGATCGGGGAACGCAGCCAGGCCCTCGAACACGGACGAGCTTTTGCACTTGCGGCAACGCAAAGAGAGCCGAGCACAATCACCGAAGCGGACCTCATCTGGAATCTGAGAGTCCAAGGGGTGGATCTCAAGGTCGTTGCTTGAGCTGTTCTGCTGAGTCTGGAATGAGCTGTAGCGCTTGATATCAAGACCAAGGTGCTCTGCCAGTTGTGATGTTGATGTTCCGACAATATTGGCACAGAGACGCTCGACAGGAGGGAAGATCTGCTTGCCAATATACCACTCAACATCAGGAAGTAGAGTAGGGTCTGCCTTGAGATCACCAGGAGTGTAGGCTCGTTTGGGAGCAGGCTCAGAGCTCTTGCTATCGCCCGTAATCACGTACGCGATAACATCTCCCTTGCGAACTGTCTTGCCTTTGGCCATTTCACGGAGAGCAACTTGGACCTGAGGCATAGAGTTGGAGTCGGGGTAGTCCTTGGGTGCTTTTCCAAGCTGTGTATGGATGATGTACTTCTGAACAGGAATAGTCTGCTCACGCATCTTGCCAGCAATGTCGCTCAAGTACTCATGGATTCGGGCGATTGAGACTTCGGTGTCGTCGCCCGACAGAATTTCGTTAAGAAGGTGTTGGGAGATCTCCTTGGACAGAGCACAGTATTCTCGACGCTTCATGTCGAGACCCTTGACTTCCATCTTCTCGATGAACTTCCCATCCTTCTCTACAAGGTTGATAGCAGCATACTTCTTTTTCGCTTGAAGGAGAATACGGCGAAAGACATTGTCAATATCGATCTCAAGCAGCTTGTACTGCTCATTGACTGCTTTCTTGAAATCGTTGCCAACCTTGAACGCATCGGCAACATTATCCACGTTGGCATTGATCATGACGGAATCAGTATCACCATAGATGACCTGCAGTGAGCTGCTCTCGGCAAGCTCCTTGGTACTGCGGAGAATCTCGCGGCCCTTGAAGGTTGTCAAAACAGCCAGAGGTCGAGCGTAGAAGCGTGACTTGGTATAGCCCAAACATCCGTACATGGAGTTGGCAGTGAGCTTGAGGGCAAGCTGCTTGATGTCCCATGTGGCCAGCTCCTCTGGGGTAGCCTTCTTGTCCTTCATGAGACTTTTGACTTGTCGACGTCGACTGACGAGAGTAGCAATGAGCCTAGGTAGGATACCTTGATCCTCGTTGATTGGAACTTCGGGAACTTCATCTTCTTCACTGTTCTGTGGGTTTGATTAGTCTCGAGGTTCAAGCAGGAATTCTCGACAGACTTACTGTGGCTGGTCTATCGACAGTTGTAAAGCAGATGTTGAACTCCTGAATAATAGAGGGATAAAGGGAATTAAAGTCCATGACAAGCACAAACTTATCATATAGACCTTTCTCGGGCTCAAAAACCAAGCCACCCTTGTACTTGTCCTTCTTCTTCCCCTCACCAGCCTCTTCTTCACGCTGTGCCTCTTCAGCACGCTGGCGACTGCGAAAAGTCTGCTTATCAGGGCAGATGTACTTGTTGCGATAGAACTCGTGGAGCAAAATGTACTCGTTCCGCTCTGCACGCGTGCCGGTCAGAGTTCGAGCCCAAGAGTTACCCGCCAGATTGGTGAGAACCTTCGTCAGTGGCAACATCTGAACACCCAGGCCCAGGGCTGCAATGAAGTGTGTATCGGCCTCCATGTGAGTGATGTAGTCGAGAAGTCCCTGCTTCTCCCTGGCCCACGTCTTCAGGGCAACCTCATTGTCAAAATCGCGGCGCCGGTTATCTCCAGAGAGGTACAAACTGCACATCTCTGTCAGGCTCCATGACTGGCACTTGAACATGACCGACTTTCCAGCATCGTTGGCCAGATCACATAGCAGACGTCCTGATAAGATCTGGCGTTCGGCAAAAACGTTACCGCCAGTCTTGCCGATGGACGATGGCCACTGACTGCGACGGAGTCTGCCTAGCCTGGACCATCCGGGTATTTTCTTTTCATATAGACGATTGAGGAGCACACTGTAGTCTACACCCTCCAATTGATGTCCAAGAATTACATCTGGGTCTGCAACATCTAGCTGGGCCAAGAAGAAGGCGAGGATATCGGCTTCTTGCTTCTTCAGCACAATCAAGCCACGATTCCTTTTCTTTGCAAGGTGATCGAAGCCCATGGGGAACGCCTGGCCATGCGGCCGGATAACTGTAAAGGTTCGACAGGGCAGCTTTTCTGCAGGGGTTGTGTCACTGAGGGATATCTTCTCGTAGATTCTTGCACTGATGGCCAGAATTTCTTGCTTGTTATCCTTCTCATTGAAGGCAGTCCGTAACGAGACACTCATAAGAGTCAGGGGAGGCGCATCGAGATTGTCAGACTCGCTAAGAACAGAAACCATGTTGGGGTGATCGGCCAAAACCTCAAGCTTGCAATGGGAAGCATTCTTGAGCTTGTCAAAATCGGCATCCTCAATCTTCAGCCAGCATGGGCCCATGATATTCTTCCAGAGAACGAACTGTTCAAAAAGAGCAGTGTTGCTACCAAAGACGTGAGAATATGTCTCACCGGGTCGGTTGGGGTCGACTTCAGGCTCTGGGATACTTGTTAGCTGATTTGGGGGACCTGCAGGGGGAATGTGGCCACTCACTGTTGTATGGGTAGAGAAGTTTCATGTACTGTGCTTCCTTGGGGACATCACGGAGCTCAAAGGCATATTTCCTGGTGCAGGCCTTGATCTTGTACATACCAACATTCATCTTGGTCATCATGGTGTCAATCTCATCATACACGTTCATCATCTCGACTTCTTCGCCTGTCTCTTCGCCATTTTGCAAGCGGTGTTGACGCGGCAAGAAATAAAGCTTTCTCAGGATATTGTCGACTTTGACAAAGCAGCTGACGTATGATCGCGTCTTCTTGTTGAGAACTTTGCCAAAGAGACACAGACTGCCGTTGACCTCAGTGTAGTCTGTCCAGAAGAAGTTGAGACTGCCGTCTTCCTCGATCGCATCCTTGTAGTCGATTTTGCCTATTGTCTTTGTTTCCGCAGGCGAACTTGTGACGACGTTCAGCCTCTCTGTGAGGGCATTCCATGAAGCTGGGTCGACTTGAGCGCCGTTGGGTTTAACAGGAGAGGAGCTGGCAGGTGTGGGATAGGACTCTGCTTTCTGAATTTTCTTGACCGGCCTTGAACTTGCTAGATTAACACTGGTTGTGGCAAT